ACATCGACGCACCTGCGGTGAGGGGACGAGCCACGACCACCGACCGAACGGATGAACGAACGCAATCGCAGCAACCACTGACTGATCGACTGACTGATCGACTGACCGATCGACTGACTGACTGACTGACTGATCGACCGACCGCGCGACCGAGCGACCGAGCGACCGATCGGATGCTAGAGGTTGCCCGAGGGGGTCATCGATGGCAATGGCTAAGAGTGGCCGAGACCGCTGCGGCGCTGCAACAAGAACTTGGCATGAGTCGAAGTCGAACAAGCAGCAGCCAACACCGGTTGTGGTGGTGGTGGTGGTGGTGGTGGTGGTGGCGGCACTGGTGGCACTGGTGGCGGCGGTGGTGACAGAAACGGCGAATTTCAGTGATACCGAAACAGAGTATTAGCCCAATTTTATATAATCAAACCAGTCTGTCAAGGATATCAGCTGTCGTTGAAATGTTCACAACGTGACCTTGAGAGCAGCATCAAGTCCTCAGGCGCATTGCTGACCCGATTCTGTTAGTCACACTGACACGAAAGCTTGGGGCGGATTTCGCGCGATCAGGCGTCCAATGCCGCCCCACGTCGCATGCCGCTGACCGGGCCGGACCGGACCGGACCGGCTCAGTGATGGTACTGGTACTGGTCACAGACAAGATGACCGAGAGTCGTTCCGACCGACGCTGGCTGATTCATTCAGCCTCCCTCGGCGACTGCCGTTACTCGTTTTCCTCTTAGTCTGTGATGGACGTTTAGTCCATCCGTCCGTCCGTCGTTGAGCGGCGTTTCTTGCAGCTGGAGTGCACCGGCGTCAATGAACGCCTTCGGTGCTCGTTTGCTGAATCTGACGATCCGTCCGCCACTTCCAACCCGTTCGTGCCGAGCGGTCACTGACCCAGTAAAGAAATGGGCCTTGGCCTACATACTGGTACGAACAGCGAATCTGTCTGTCTCTTGTTGAGGTTATAGGCACCAACGCTGTGTCGCACCGCAGTCGTGTTCATCAGGTGGCAGACACGTGTCGAGTGGCCTATAATCTACTGAAATATTTACTGATTGACGTGCAGCGTTTAACTCGTCCGTGTGAACGCTGAACAGTTCTATGCACGGAGCTGTAGCACCGAACACATTACCATATTTTCACTTTCGCGCGGTTCCACCATTTTCAATGCGTTCAATTTGGCGTATGGTCTGCGAATACATAAATTTAGTGGAAAAAAACAAAACAAGCTTTAGAAGCCTATATTTAGTTTGCATGCTCAGAAGGTCAGGTCGTTGTATATTGCGCTTATCCTTTCAAATAAAAGCCAATTATTGTAACCTTCGCTTAACCTAAAGATCATTTGTTCAGCGATACGGTACTCATTCTCATGGAACTGTCAGAACAATGTTAATCGGCTGATTGGTGCTATGGTGACATCTAGAATTAGATATAAAAAGTTTTGTTAATCTCCCTCCGCTTTATGCTAATGCTGTCCCTCGCTTGTTAGCTAATGCAGGCTCTCAGTAGTTTCAAAGTAGGAGGTCATGAGCAGCAGTTTGTTAATAGGCCCATAGATCCTCGAATTTTCGGATTTCACAACGTCTCCGCAGTCCTCTCCTTGTTAGTCTGCTTCGGAGTCACTGAAATTCTTGCACAACTTTCTTGATTCGAATGACTATGAACAAGGCTTAAGGATCTGGTACTTCTGCATGCTGTCGTCCGACCATCTAGAATATTCGATTGACTGTAAGAATGTTTTCCTCATTCACTTGGTTTGATGGCATTTTTCACGTACCCTCGCCAACACCTTTAGAAGAGACCATTTAAGCAATACACAGTTTCACTTACAGTGTACAGTAGAGCTTCAACTGTATACATGCGTGCCGCCAGCACCGTTCCGTAAGTCCGTACTCCTTTCTTTTTCACAAAAAATTTGAAACTATACAAAACAGTGTTATTAAGCTCTGTAAATCGTTGGATCAGGCTGGATATTAAGCAGTCCTCTTTCTAATAGTTAGTCAGGCCTGCCTAGACACCCTCTTTCCCTCAAAAAATCAGAGCAGCCGGGAAAATGGCAGCAGTGTAAGACGCCATGGAAACTTAAGCACTGCCGAGCTAAATGATTGTTAACATTAATGTTGAGTTTGATCAGTTAAGATTTGCCAATGTCTTATTACAGGTCTAAGCAACTACTTGTAAGAGCTAAACTATGTGATGCATCGTGAAACGTCTCAAACTGTCTCACTGATATTTGAGGAAAAGTTTTGAGTTACTGCTTCCAAGCATTAGAGGTATGAGGTTCAGCTTGTATTATCAAGCGATTAAATCCAAAATGCCCTTAATTTTGCACATCCATTTGTTCTTTGCTAATTCTGGAAACTCTTTCATAATAAATGGTATAATGGAGAGCGTCATTTTCATGGTGGCTAAAAATGAGTCATAGGTTTCTGAATTTGTGCAAGTGAGGAAATATTGCACTTCAGTAAACGTTCTTCCTTCAAAGCCATCTGTGAGCAAACATTGACTACAATTTTTATCTGAGGTACAGTCACAGCATTCAAACAAACCGGTGAGGTTGTCTCAAATTTCCGGAGACATACGTCAACGGATGGCATCCAAGAAGAATGCAATTATGCATAAGATATAACACTGGGATGAAAAGGCAACGATTTCTCGACAATAATTTCATGATTGCTCCTCCGAAACGACAGCACAAAATGGTCAGAGAACCTCAACATCTCAGTGATCCTGGTAGCATCGCTGACTGGCCTGTGGAAGTTTCCTCGTGGTACAGTTTCACATATCAGACTGACGGAAAAGTAATGATCCAGAAAAGCATTACATCCACAAATGTAGCCATGCTTTCAGAGATGGCAAAAAAACGACGAGGTTTCAAGCAATTGTTTTCGCTCACACACTGCGCTACAGCCCGTACCCGTTGTTATCACGTCATAGCCATTCATTTTGCTGCGTGTCACTACCAGTGACCCGGTGATTGGTCAGCGCAAAGCTAGAAAATAAATTAGGCGCTTTTAAATGGAAGAAGCGACATGTGAAGAGTCACTGCTTTTCGAAGATGCAATGTCTGACCTATGCGTGAGTTGTAGCTGGAAAGAGTAATTTTTCTTTATAAGTTCATTTTTAAATAATAATAAGGAAATAATAAATTCATTCTAATAATAGCGCTTGTTTCTATGTTCTACTTTCACTAAGCGCGAAAGAAGGGGTGAAATCCGACTTTCAAGACGAAGTGTAGCTGAAACTCCTCGCTCGACAGGT